TATAAACCACAACCACTCACACTGCACACAGTTTGCCCAGCCATAGTTGTTTATAAATAACTTGTTGTGTTGATCCTATAGGAATTTTATAATACTATACTTTTGTATAGATATACAGCTTAGGCAAGAGTTTCTCTTTTTCCTGAATGAAAAGAGCAATGATTCCACAGAACAGTGAAAGATTTTGTTCAACAGCTTAGTAACCACAGGTAACTGACATTATGATATGGTCCCTACCAGGTGCTACTGCTTCATTTCATAACACCTTAAAAGTCTAAAGATAGAAAATACTGTATACAGTACTGTACCATAAAACACTTCACAGCAATTTTTTCACTTAGAAAAGCAGTACTGTACAGGTATCCCTCGTTTAGCGACAGGTTTGCAGTCCTGAAAATCTAACGTTAAGTGAAATTATTGCTAAATGAGGAATAACAGAAAAGCACAGAGGGTGAACAATAGGTTCAAACGGCAGAGCGCAGAGTGGTAAACACTGAGTACTGTACTGTACAGTTCTCTCTAATAATAATAATAAACGAGTTTGTTATAAATGGTTTTGAAGTAAATGATTGATTTATTAACACCCAAATTATATATAAATGATGCGGTTCAGACTTAAACAATTTAGTGAGCAAAAGGTGAGCCAAATTCGAGCACATTTCAAACTGAATACATCATAAACAAAAAATATTGCTATAATAAACAATAAAATTGATACATAGCTTATCACAAAATACAATAACACATATTTTATGTACAAAAAATTGCTTCTTCCCCACTTAAACCATCCTCTTGGCAACACAACACAGTTCGGCCAGGTAGTCACCCAGCCGACTCAAGAGACACATGGCTGCTGCCGCATGGTATGACGTTACATTGGGGAAGGAATCAGGGAGTACAGCTGGACACGAGATGCAGTTACAGCCCACTGCCTCCACAAATACATTCACCTCACACACACATACTATACACCCATGCTCTTCATTTTTCTTGTTTTATAATTTTATATTATATTTTCTTTATTTTCATTTCAGTACTTGTAACAAAACAACATGCCATCTCACAGGCCACCTCATCCCCACTTTTTCCCCTTCCCAGTGAGTCAAGCTATTGCCAAACCGAATTCTGACCCAAAGTTAGTGAGAAAGGGTGTTCAAAATTTTTTATCACTTATCCGAATTAACATTAAGTGAAGAAATGCTAAATGAGGGATGTCTGTATAAACTTTCAGGTGTTTTATAAAATACAGTAGTCAACAATAGTACACATGAAAATAAATTGAACCTACCAGACCAAAGAATATGTCCACAGCAATCTTACTGATGCTGCAGCTTTATTAAACCTGATTCTGAACCTAATTTAGAGTGATGCGACCTACAGTACAGTATATCATCAACCAACAATATGGCATTTTTTTTGTCCAACTGGCCATAAAATGCTTAAGGGATGAACTAGACCTCAGAATTACTTTGTTTACAGAAAACACGTGGAATCACTATGTAATACTTTGAGTGAATTACCAATGCACCATTTTTCAGTGGAATATTTCTTTCTACAAGCTATCACTAGGTGAAAAATCCCATTAAGAGCCATTTTTATGTCTAAATACCAATATAGTATTTGGGGATTATAGCAGGTAAGTGACCTTTAGAACATTGACTGCAGATATCATATTTTTGGGGAATCATGTACACAGGGATAACAGAGTACAGTACAGTATAGTAGAGTAGAGTACAGCACATATCTTTCACTTACTACTACAGTACTGTATCAGAGCAAATTGCCTAATTTACTTTTATCATTCACAAAAGACCAACCTGTTGCCAAATGCTGTTGTGACTTAATCACAAACTAGAATAAGCAGGTCCCATAAATGATCACCATTAGGCATAAAGTAGGGTTTTGGAGAAAAAATTACACCTGCAATTGAATTTATAATGTCTATAGCACTATGAAAACCCACTCATCTTAAAGTAGAACACAATCTAAGCTTTGAACTGTGCGGCAGAGGTAAATACTTTCAATGTGGAAAAATTTTCAATCGTAAAGATTCATTAAACCCTTAGCATTATGTAGTTTGAGTGCAATATGTTTTGACGGATGGGGTAACAAGAGGTTTTATGGTTTGAATCTCAAGTATACCTGTTGACTCTCAGGCTTTTAAAGCAACCACTGTATTGGATAAGAATTTGCTTCATAAATCCTGGTATAACTGGGTGAGTGGCTGTTTGCAGCAGTTGCATTGATTCTGAAGGGATATTATTTTTGCCTTATAATGCATATACAGGTAACTGCCTGGGGAAGGTAGACTCTGCTAGAGGGTTGCAGATCACTTGATAAAAATACCTGTACAATATAAAACAGCTTTTACATTTTTGTTTCAACTGGAAATTTATAAAATGTCAAGTCTCTTATGAAACTGATTTATTCACTACATGCTATTTACATGAACAATTCTCTAAACGACTGTTTTCTGTACATCGCATTTTTGTTTTCAACAAACTGTGACAATGCCTCATACAAGATGGTCTGTCCATACATGAACTGAAATAGGGTTTACAAAAATACAACATAAAAATGATTCAGGCTGTCCAGGATGAGACATGCTGAAATGTGAACGATGATTGTCTGGCAATTACAATTCTCTTGGAATAGAATACTAGCTAAATATAATACCATATTTACAAAAAGGACCTGGGACCAGTTTTTACCAGCTGGGGCCACAGGTAGATTGGCACAGTGAAGAACAAATCACATTCACAGCTACACTGACTGCATATGGAAAAAGATACAACAGCCTTCTAGAGTGAAACAGTGAAAAACCAAATAATAACATTCAATCATATATACATTACTTAACATCAACATCACACAAAACTGACCATTTTATCTAGGGACTGTGAAATGCTAAAAAGATACAATCTTGATACGTGTTGCAGCTCTGGTTTAAGGTGCTTTCCATGAGATGAGCCTCACAGTCTTATACCAGCTCACCCCTCCTCATTACAATAAGCTGGAAATTAGGTTACCATTGTATCCAGATCATATATTTTAAATTAGAGTTCCAAATTGTTCATACAGTGGATAGGTGTGGATGAGGATGCTTGGCAATTTGGATCCAAGAGCAAGCCCTTTCATGTTTAAGAAGATTCTGGATTTATTGTCTATTGGTAGCATGGGAGGTAAGTAAGGAAGTATAAGAAAATACCTGAAGGAGAGTGGTTTGTAGATTAATAATATAACTGTAAATTTAGAATTACAGGTAGTTAGACATTTATAGCTGGTTTCTATTATGTAATTGGAATTACTTTTAAGTGCATAGGACAAGAAACTGTAGCATTTTGTATTTATGGTAGTGTGAGAAGTAGATTATAATGTGCTGTAGAGGATGTTAGAGGCAAGGAGGGCAAAAATTAGTTAGAGATAAAAACTTATTTTTTTCTTTTTGAAGAGAACAGATTTGAGTAGTTGTTGATGAATATAAAATGATGAAAAAATTAAAAGTGAATAATGGACTTCTATTTTATTCAAAAGTATAAAGTAGAACTGAGGAAAAGAGGAAAATTACTGTTCTATGTTGTGTAGCAAAAGACTGAAAAATTATGACATAAGTGATATAGGGTAGATGTGTTAATAAATATAAATACAGGGGAACTGAAGGATACTGTACACATGAGTTAGAAAAGTAAGACACTAAAAGTTACTATGTGTAGGGATGCAAGAATGTTTGGATGTACAGGTATGTTGTTGGGGAATACATTTTGGTGATATGTTCTTACATAAGTAACTATAAGGTTAGAAAAGAGCTGTAGTACGTTATCCCCAGATGGCCACCTTGAGCTGCCCTGAGCTTGGGATAGAAGTCAATTACCAGGCAGTGTAGCCAACTCAGGCATTTCATACTGTTTGTGCCAGTTCAGGGATTTTGACTTAAGTATGTGATGTTGGAAACGCTGGACACTGAGCCTGCAACACTGCCATGGAAATGGCTGACAAGAGCAAAAAATTAAAACATATTGTATTTGTGAAATTTAATTAAATTAAAAATTGTGAAAGTCTGCAAAAGCTTACAGGTCCCACACATACAAAAAAAAAAGAATAGATGATCTCTAGGAGACCGGTCAAAATTAACAATTTCCTTATAACTGCACACCGCCTAAGTTCAAGTTATTTCAACATTTAATGCCCTCTCACAGAAACTTACCTAGAGGTGAACAGTTCAGAGAGTGACATCTCTTTCAGAGAATGAGACATCTCTTCATAATTTTCAATAGTTACCTACAGTATTATATATTCAAGGTGTTGCATTGTAGTTACAAAAGCATTACACTGGATTGAACCCATACAGTATGTGGTAAGTCATAGTAGTCTTGCTAAGCCAAAGTGTGATCAAAGCTGCACACTCTGGAATAACACACTTATTACCTGGGAGGTTGCTTCATCATAAAAGTTTTTCCTTTTGGATGTGGCCTTACTGTACTCTACAATATCAAGGTTACATAAATATGAGTATACATGATATGCCTTTTTTCTTTGAAAGAGTATCATTTGATGAACAGTTCTATTCTTGATAAGTTGCATTATTGAAGCTCAATATCCCCTTTGAAAACTTAGATCACAGGGGTGGAAAGACGTTTTTAAAGGTGAACGTGAAGACAATGTAGCCAGCCAAGCACTGTGCTCATATTCTCATTTTTTTTCTTTATTAAATAAATTAAATTAGGAAATCTTGATTACTTGTGCTTGTAAACCATAAAAATATATTCAGTAAAATACAATCATACATTGTTGGCCTTGTACACACATCACATCAACACTGATTTCTAAAGTGGGTGGTGACTTTAGCATATACTTGAGGTGATCACAAGCCATAAATACAAAACAGTACTATGAAAAATTGGATATATATATATATATATATATATATATATATATATATATATATATATATATATATATATATATATATATATATATATATATATATATATATATATATATATATATATATATATATATATTAGTATGTGTGTGTGTCTACATAAAGCATAAAAATCACAGGAGCTGCTTATGTGAACCGAGCTGCCAAACACATCCCATAGCCACAGGTGCAGTGGGTTCACTTGGCAATTTTGGTTCTGGCTGTTATTACAACTACACTAGCCAGAAATAGTTAATGTCACTGCCTCAGATATCCCATTCAGTAATCTGGATAATAATTAACATGTCCACTGTGCTCAAACAGGTAATGCTCTGGCCAAAATTTTCAAAAACTTGACATGATATTAATTACACTGTAATTTGTTCTGGTGAAACAAATTGATTAAATGTACTTTAGGTAAATATTATATAGTGATGTGTAAAAAACAATGTTATGAAAAGTTGACAGCTATAGTGGACGTCATTCTGGTAACATATTCCTACTACAGTATTGGGTGTACAATACTGTAATGAAATTAGATGTACCTGCAATGTATCATTTATCAAACAAAATCAGATTAATGAATAACTTAACAGTGCAAAAAAAAAATACAGAAATGATTAAAAATTATGGCCATCAGAGCAACATTGGATTGGAGAGAAAATGACTAAAGTATTAACAGCCTATAAAATTTGTTTCACACTTCAAACCATGAACCATTGTAGCAGCAGTTGCATCCTTCCATCATACTGGCGTGGAATATTCTTATCATGGTCATATTTAGATTTATATTCATTTAACAATTTTGTACTTTTTTCAATTATATTCACATAATGTACTTGTGTTTTACCTGTACCCTGAAGTGATTTTACATTGAGATAGTAAAACAGAACACTGTCACTGAGTTCCTCCAACTTTACACAGCCACAATAACAACTCTAAGCTGTACTCTGCCTCACAGGATTCTTCCACAAGTTATTATTTAAAACATATGGCTAGTCTTGATACTCAGCTTACAACACTGGCCAAGTATGGGCTCATAAATATGCGAAATTATGTGGATTATGCATTATATATATACTGTATTGTGTATGTGTGTGTGTGTCAAATTTGCCTTGAACAGAATTTTTATTTTACAATATTTCTTCCTTTCATTTTCATACAAAATTTTCCATGTTGCAGAATAGAACGAAGTGAACGGCTGGCTTTGCAGCTTTAGAGTAGAGTACCTAACACTGCTGTGTATGTGATACAATGAAGGGTTGATTCATGATGTGAAGGAACAATTATTTACAGGGATGGTGCCAAACAGGGGCCACAAGTCTTTGTCTTCAGCCACACTTTTGACACTGAGGTATTAGTGACTGTACTGGCACAGGCCCATCTTGGAGCTTAAATTTTGGTCCTGAATAGCAGATGAACACCCATGTATCGGCCATGATACACTGGTATAAACTCCTGATACTCCATTATAGCACTTTCTCATGCAAGAAAGCATGGTGTATGTACGAGGGTGGGCGTGTCCAGCACAGCATGTGGGCGTGGGTATCTAGGGTTGCAGCGGGTCATGTGACGCTCACCATGGTAGGATGGGAGGAGTCTTGAGACCCAGCTTCAGGTTTGTTGCTAGCACACTGGCCAGTCAACTGATTCACACTAAGAGGATTATTGATGTCACGGGGATTCGTGCCCACTGGGGGCCGTTGAGGGTGTGGGACCTGGGGAACCTGGTTCATCTGTAGAGGTGGTGCCTCCCCCGGCGTTAAAGGGGAAGCCAAGGAGACTGGTGATGGCATGAGCAATGAGGGCGGTCCTGACGGTGATGCCAGAGAAGGCCCAGGTGAGGGCATCAGACTTGAGGATGCAGGGGAGGTGGCAGTGTGGTCTCCCACCAATGCTGTGGAAGGGGATGACATATCTTGTAGATCGTCATCCTCATCGCTTTCCTGCGAGGCATCTACACTATCAGCTGACCCTGGCGCCATGTCCTCACCTTCCTCTCCTTCCATATATCGAATACATTTCTTCTTTCGCCTGTAAAAAAGAACAAATGATCAAGTTTTCTCAGTGAAAGATTAAAGTAAATCAACAAAAAAGATACATGCGTTATATTAACATAAAAAAACGTCTACTCATGCAGCTACTGCCCACATCCTGTAAAAAATAAAAAATTAACATGCATCAAAAGGAAAAAAAAGTAAAATTAATGTGGCTGAAACATTACAAGTACTTAATTTTTTGACTTTGATTAGTATATTAGTAACAGAAAGAAAAAGAGATAATTAATGGAAATTGTGTTACCTTTGTACACATAAACATGCGTAACAATGAATAAAACAAACAAAACAAAACCTGTAAAATAAATAAACAAGATGAATCACTACAAGACACTCACGTGATTATTCTGCTTGTGATGGATATTGAATTAATGAATAACAAAGTCCTAATAGTGAGAACAGCATTTCCCTTGCCTAAATGTTCAAGATCCGTCACAGCAGTTCACAGCACAGTGAAGAGACTCACAGACTAGAGATTAACATAGGTAGGTTCAGAAGGAGAGGAGACACCACTGCTGCTGCCGTTGTTGTTGTTGTTGGTGTTGCTGTTGTTGGTTGTGCTGCTGCTGCTGCTGCTGGTGCTGGTACTTAAGTTAACGATGGAGTGTATGGGGGTACCTGGTGCGGGGCTGTAGCTAGGGCCCCCTGTGCCTACTTGGGAGGCTGCTGAGGGAGCCAGAGGGGTCAAAGTTGCAGGGTTAGCACCCTGAGTTAGTGATACAATGACCGCCCCAGAGGTGGCTGCAGCAGCAGCAGCTGCAGCAGCCACACCCCCAGAGGCCCCAGCAGCCCCCAGCAGGGAAGAGGGGACCCCGGGGAGGCCCACCCCCGATGCTAGCGACACAGCAGGGCTGCGGGCCCGGGAGAGAGACCAAGGTTAGAGACTAAGGGGCACCACCTTCACCATACACACTGCCCTGGCTCAGAGCCTCACCATCACCTGACTGCCATTGAACCCTGCACCAGTGATCAGAAAATGTGTCAGTTCAAGGGTTAGCCATGCCTCAATGCACCCGCTGCTATACACATGCTGGGTGCACAGAGATGTTAATAGTGGCACATTTGCCCCTTCAGTCAGACTAACTTTGGTCTTGGGCACTCAAGCAAAAGTTCTCACCAATATATTTTGGGGACTATGAATTTAAAGGTTAAGATGAGGGAAGACACATTTTCTGATGCTGTTGAAGAATATGAGTTTCAGAGAGGACGACAATGGGCGGGACAAAGTGCAGGGTGTGTGAGCGCGGGTGAGACTGCAGGGGACCTTGGGCAGGCAACAAGCCCAGACCGAGTCCCCTTTTGACACCGTGCTCACAACCATTCTCACACACCCACCACAAATTTTAAGGCAAAAACATCTAATGGCACACAAAGATGGAACAGTGAGACCTTTTGCCAGGGTCCCTTTCACTCCTCAATTGACTTATCATCCAAGATATTCAGTTATAAGCAAAGTATATTTATGAAATAATATTCACACTTCAGTAATGCTCATAGTCTAATTGCAAAACTTCAGAAAATAAAGCATTTATGAAGTATACAAGATTCAAATGCAGTTATAATTCTGCCTCATTGTACTCTGGACTAATATGAAAAATTCTCTTGGATGATAATTCCCCACTCATACACCCATCTACAACTATTCTTATAATAAATGTTAGATTATAAGATACCAAAGCATGCACATTCACCAGTATCCTCCACTTGAAAGTGGCTGAAGCTTTTTTTTTTGCAATAAGCCAGTGAAGCACATATATAACTCAAGTTGCAAGATGAACAGGTATAGGCAAGGTAGTGTTAACTCATCATGTCAGAATTACCAATTTATTATGCATCAAATACGACACAAAATAACAAGTACAGTATTAACATGTGTTCCAACACTTTCTTGCAGCACAACCTCCAGATGTGGGACAGCAAATGCATGACCTAAACTTAATCACTGTTTTTGTCAGTCCTGCTCTTAAGAAGTCTTTGTTTACAAATACTGTTTTAAAAAAAGATGAAGGCAACAGTATATAAGACTCATGCTCATGTATTGTAAGAGTCAAGTAGTGAGGAGCAAGGGAGGCGGAGGAAGTGAGGGAGATGGTAAATATGAAAAAATCAATGAAAAGGTTAAAAAGAGAATGAATCATATGAAAAGAAATCATAAAAGATGACTAATGAAGAATATTAAATTGTCCAAAATACAGGTACATACAGTAAAATAAAACAGGATAACATGTACAGGTAATATGAAACACAATATCTAGAGTCACAAGATGCCATCAAATAATAATGCAGTATAGTAAAAGTAAAAACAACAGGCCTGTCCAACATCAGATAGAATATTAATTTTCAAGTCATTAATGTAACCTGAAGCAAACATCACTGGGTATAACAGTATTATGGATGTCATACAAGTTACATTATGAAAGACAAAATACAGAGCTGTATTTTGTACCTAATAAAAATGTTCATATCTGATATTTATGAACACAGCCACATTACTGTACTGTACAGGGGCCACTGGGGGTTAAAACAAAATCTTTCAAAATAAAGTACTACAGTAAAATAAAAATCTATGAGACAAACTATTTCTAAACAAAAATTAGTAAAAATTGTTGTTGAGGAAAGAATCAGTAAATATTTATGAGTTTTTAAGAGAACGAACACAAACACTTAAAACACTTAACCGAGACAACATTCAGTACAGTACTATTATTGGCAGAAAGATGAACAACTGAATCAAAGTACTACTGTACAGTACAACATAATGTCTACATAACAAATAATTCATATTAACCTTAGAGAATTCTCTCATGCTCCATAACTTTATAACTGTCTATAGAACTTAAAGATTTAGTTTACAAAGTTATGGAAAATCAACCAATAATTTCTAAACTACAGTACAGTACAGTACAGTACAGTACAGTACAGTACAGTACAGTACAGTACAGTACTATACTGTATAGTATTTGCCCTTTTAAAAGCGATGAGATAAAAATAAATGAAATCTCAATATATAAAATAATCCCATGAAATTAACTATAAATTTATCATTGGTAAAATGTAAGTTACCTGTTTGGTACTGTACAGTACTTATATCACGTACTGTACCTAAAATAGCTAACAAAAATAATTTGGCCTTATAAGCACAGTTATTACATGTATGGCAGTACTGTTATACTGTAGTATTGTGTTACTTGGTTGATGATTCTACTATACAACAGCCTAGACAACAATATACTGTACTGTACTGTAATATTACTAATGGATAAGTTACCATACATTAACAGAACATGCAATGATTAACAATAAACAAGAACATAAAATAAGTGATGTTAACACTGTTCACAAACATGTAGGTTATGATAGAATATTCAAATAACAAATATAAAATAATTATGGAACCATACTTGACAGAAGAAGGAAAAATGGAAAAGGCACTTGTTAAAAACAACAGGACAAAGACTCTTAGTTCTTGCAGTTTGACAAATGTGTTACTGTACACTTTAACAAACTGGGAGGACACCAGACACTCATTTATTTATCACAATATATCCTTTAATGGAGTTTACTAAGTAATACTGAACACTAATGGTCGACAAACACCAACAGCTAACAGGAGATAGGGGGAGAACATGAGGTTATGGGGTAAAGCTCATAAGCTACAAATTATGTTACAAAAACATAAGATGAAATGTGTTATATTTCAGGTGAGAGGTGAGACTCGTTATGCTGATTTTTCTAAGTGTTATACTAAGGAAAACAGTGGAGCTCAGGGCATCATCTCCACAACAGACTCTATATTAACTTATTTTCAATAACACGCTGATTTTCAGTACAGATGTTAGTAAGCATGACAGAAAGCACAACATGGTATAAATATACTAAAATGCCCATGACAAGGGTTATCAAGTAAAACAGACAAGGCTGGTGATGGACCTGGGAAGGGAATGTAAATTATGATGTTGTCTTACACATAGAAAGGAAAGGATAAAGATCTTATAAATGATGAAACAGAAGAAACAAATTGGAAAACATCTTGTGCAAGTACAGTACTGAAAAGGTAAAGTACAAAAGAAATGATTAAAGGGTATCTTGGCATGAAGGTATGTCAAATATCTCGTCAATTGGACTTAAAGTAATTAAAACTAAACCTCCAGAAGTACAGGAAATGGCTCACATATTCCTGCATAAGAAATATAGATACTGTACTGTATTGTGAATTTGTAATTAGCTGTGTCTGTGAAGAACAAGACAACATCTACAAGAAGAGGAATAAATATGAAGAGACAAAAGAATGGAAGTTGGACATAAAGGAACCAAACTGAAGGAATGAGTGGAAAAAGATGAGAAAAGGTGGGAAGGAGGGAAGCACAGAAATGTAAGGGGAGGGAAGGAGTTGGAATGACAAGAGGGGGTGGGTGGGAGTGAGAGGAAATGAGAAAGAGGAGAGAAAAATTGGAGAGATGGGAGGAAGTGAAACAAGAATTAAAAGATGGGATGGTAAGGGTCAAAAGGAAATAGAAAGGTGGAGAGGGGGGGGGAGAATAGTGAGGAAAGATGAGAGAAGAGAGACAGGTGACACAAAAAAGACGAAGATGGTTTAAGAAGAAAAAAGTAGGTAGAGGAGGGCTTGGGATGGAAATAAAGACGTGTGTGTGTGTAAATACTTCTGCAAAAGGGAGAATCATATTAAGTCACTGATGAATTTACTTATTATTCATAGCACAGACATTATTAAACACAGTACAGTATTGCATTTATATTGCCAAAGATTATCACATTTTTAACTCTGTCGAAAACTGTAGTTTACTAAATATATGTTGTCAAGATACCTTTGATGCCAATAAAAATTAATGGATAAAAGAGAACAGAAGGAAAGATATTAAGAACACAGGAAGGTACAATAAAACAGGACTTACACAGAATAAATAATGAAATAAAAGATGTGATAGAGAAGAGGACTGAAGGAAAGACATGACATGATAGGCTGACAGAAAAAGAAAAATTACAAGGAAACTTTATTAAAAAAAATCAAAGAAATGGGTAGGAAATGGAAAAATTTGAAGAGGAAAGATGAATACTCAAAATGTACCAAAGAAAGGAAATGATATCATAGACAAATGAAGAAGAAACAGGAGGAGAAGGAAAAAGATAGGGAATTGTGTGATATACCGTGAAGACCTATCATATTGGTAAGTGCTGTACTGTTTACTGAAGCTTGGAGGGTTGAGGTTATTGGGTGGCGAGAGAACATAGAAAGTTACCTGAGAGACAGATTATGAGCTGAGATACATATTATGATGAGAGACAGATTATGAGGTGAGAGACAGTATATGAACTGGGAGACAGATTATGAGCTGAGAGACATATTATGATGAGAGACAGATTATGAGGTGAGAGACAGTATATGAACTGGGAGACAGATTATGAGCTGAGAGACAGATTATAATTATGAACATGTTCGACACATTTTGAGCTGAGAGACAGATTATGAGCTGAGAAACAGATTATGAGCTGAGAGACATTAAGAGCTGAGAGACAGATTAAGAGTTGAGAGACAGATTATGAGCCAAGAGACAGATTATGAGTTGAGAAACAGATTATGAGCTGCGAGACAGATTATGAGCTGAGACAGATTATGAGTTGAGAAACAGATTATGAGCTGAGAGACATTATGAGTTGAGAAACAGCTTATGAGCTGAGAGACAGATTATGAGTTGAGAAACAGATTATGAGCTGAGAAACAGATTATGAGCTGAGAGACAGATTAAGAGTTGAGAAACAGATTATGAGCTGAGAGACAGATTATGAGCTGAGAGACAGATTATGAACTGAGAGACAGATTATGAGCAAGAGAGATTATGATGAGACATTATGAGCTGAGAGACAGAGAATGAGTTAAGAAACAGATTATGAGCTGAGAGACAGATTATGAGTTGAGAGACAGATTATGAGTTGAGAGAGATGAGTTGAGAAACAGATTATGAGCTGAGAGACAGATTATGAGTTGAGAGACAGATTATGAGCTAAGAGACAGATTATGAGCTGAAAGATTATGAGTTGAGAAACAGATTATGCGATGAGACACATGAGTTGAGAGACATATTATGAGCTGAGAGACAGATTATGAACTGAGAGACAGATTAGGAGCAAGAGAGACAGATTATGATGAGACATTAAGAGCTGAGAGATAGATTATGAGCCGAGAGACAGATTATGAGCTAAGAGACAGTTTATGAACTGAGAGACAGATTATGAGTTAGAGAGACAGATTATGATGAGACATTAAGAGCTGAGAGACAGATTATGAGCCGAGAGACAGATTATGAGTTAAGAGACAGATTATGAGCTGAGAGACAGATTATGAACCGAGAGACAGATTATGAGCTGAGAGACCGATTATGAGTTGAGAGAGATGAGTTGAGAAACAGATTATGAGCTGAGAGACAGATTATGAGTTGAGAGACAGTTTATGAACTGAGAGACAGATTATGAGTTAGAGAGACAGATTATGATGAGACATTAAGAGCTGAGAGACAGATTATGAGCCGAGAGACAGATTATGAGTTAAGAGACAGATTATGAGCTGAGAGACAGATTATGAACCGAGAGACAGATTAGGTTGAGAGACAGATTATGAGCTAAGAGACAGATTATGAGCTGAGAGCAGGATTGAGTAGAAAAACAGATTATGAAATGAGAGACAGATTATGAGCAAGAGAGACAGATTATGATGAGACATTATGAGCTGAGACAGATTATGAGCTGAGAGACAGATTATGAGCAAGAGAGATAGATTATGATGAGAAATTATGAGCTGAGAGACAGATTATGAGCTGATAGACAGATTATGATGAGACATTATGAGCTGAGACAGATTATGAGCCAAGAGACAGATTATGAGCTGAGAGACAGATTATGAGCAAGAGAGATAGATTATGATGAGAAATTATGAGCTGAGAGACAGATTATGAGCTGAGAGACAGATTATGAGCTGATAGACAGATTATGAGTTGACAGACAGATTATGAGCTGAGACAGATTATGAGCCGAGAGACAGATTATGAGCTGAGAGACAAATTATGAGCAAGAGACAGATTATGATGAGACATTATGAGCTGAGACAGATTATGAGCTGAGAGACAGATTACGAGCCGAGAGACATATTATGAACTGAGAGACAGATTATGAGCTGAGAGACATTATGGGAACAATTTATGGAGTAGTGTATGAACAGGTGGATTGAGAGGGAGATGGTGTATGAGTGGGAGGAGTGAGAGAGGAAGACAGTGTATGAGTGGGAGGAGTGAGAGAGGAAGACAGTGTATGAGTGGGTGAAGTGAGAGAGGATGAGAGTGGAGTGAAGTGAGAGAGAGGCAGTGTATGAGTGGGTGGAGTGAGAGAGGAAGACAGTGTATGGTGGGTGGAGTGAGAGAGAGGAAGACAGTGAGAGAGGATGAGTGGGTGGGTGAGAGAGGGAAGGCAGTGTATGAATGGGGAGGCAAATGTGTAAGGAAGGGCAGGAGGCAGGTGTGTGAGGAAGGGCAGGGAGGCAGGTGTGTGAGGAAGGCAGGAGGCAGGTGTGTGAGGAAGGGGCGGGAGGCAGGTGTGAGGAAGGAGGGGTGTGTGAGGGATGGGCAGGAGGCAGGTGTGTGAGGGAGGCATGGGGGCAGGTGTGTGAGGGGAGCAGGAGGCAGGTGTGGGGAAGGGCAGGTGTGTGAGGGATGGGCAGGAGGCAGGTGTGTGAGGAAGGGCAGGAGGCAGGTGTGTGAGGAAGGAGGCAGGTGTGTGAGGAGGGCAGGAGGCAGGTGTGTGAGGAAGGGCAGGAGGCAGGTGTGTGAGGAAGGGCAGGAGGCAGGTGTGTGAGGAAGGGCAGGAGGCAGATGTGTGAGGAAGAGCAGGAGGCAGGTGTGAGGTTAGAGGGTCTTACCTGCACGGTTTACACCACTGACTCTGCTGCTCCAGCCCGTACCTCGCGCGACACTTCTTCATGTTGGCTGAGGACGAGGATCACAATTAGACATTACTCACTAACCCGCCTGTCAACTCACTATACTGACGTTATCTATATCCACAGACAATAACAACTGAAAACATGCTTAATAGGCACAATTGTTTATCAATCTTAACAATAAAGATTCATGCATTGAGAGCAATATGATTCAGACAAAGCAGATTCTGACTTTTATTGTCATGTTCATCTGCAGTGTTATTTTCATAACATCTTCATCTGACTCTCCCAGTGGCAATGCAGTGAAGCAATATGACAGTGACAAAACCAAATGATGGCATCAACCTGCCTGCTCAAAGATGCTACTGAAAATAACAGTGGAGATCCACGAGGCGTTCGCTCGTGACTGAGAGATGACTAAATGTCAGCAAGTAGTAAACATTCAGCCTAGTTATATGATATGGAAAAATATAATGGGTAATTGTAATAATCAAAATAGCAGAAACATTCGGCAACAATCCAATTAAGCAACGTCAATTTATTAAGAAAAGAGAAATATGAATGTATATGCAAACAGGCAGCAAAAAGACAAAAGCAAACATATAATAACATTCAAGTAAAAGTTGACAATAATGAATAAGTTAAGAGTGAAGCTAATAAGTAAATTTGGAACCTTATTAGGCGGTGGAGCGGATGGGTTGGGGAGGGGGTGCGTCATCCTGTACCACCTCCTGGCCGGGGCTTAGCCAGGAGGAGGAGCAGCACCACCAGGGACGGGCCCCGGCCCCCCCAACACACCTCGCACCCGACCGTAATTGGATCTGAGTTGCTTAACAGGAAAGGCTTTTGAGTGCGGCAGTTAGCTACCTCCATCTTGGGTTTTGTCACGGTTACGCTTCTTCTTTTTCCCCTGCGAGTAATTTTGGCGTGAGGACCACCCTGGGTACATCTGCATGTGAAGCTGGCGCTCTTTGCGCGCCATTTCATAGTACTTGGCCTGTTCTTCGCGGCTTAGCGCATGCCACTGCAGGGAAAGTTAAATGAAGATTAGTGGTCGACAACCCTTAGCGTCAGGGCTGGGCTACTCAAGGTCGGCTTCTGTCTTCGGGACAACTCAAAACTCAACACCAGCAACTTGTCTCCTCCTCATAGCCTCAGTCCAACTCACATCTTCCATGGTGCTAAGCAAGAGGTGAGTGTCAGCGAGGCGTCAGGCGGCACATGTTTGTTGGTGTTGTCACAGTTGTCCCCCGACATACACACACGTCTCGGCCCAGCCCTGACGCGACACAACAACAATCATTTTCTTTTACCTCCATCACCAGTCTTCTCTTTCTTTCTCTTCTTCTTTTTCATCATGCCATAGTTATCACGCGCGTTCCATCCTGGGTACATCTGCATATGTAGTTGTCTCTCCCGCCGCGCCATTTCGTAATACTTGGACTGCTCCTCTTTGGTGAGCGCATGCCACTAAAGCCAATGTATACAGTGAGCAACGGTTACACTTGCCAGTGAAAACCCTCTTACTTCACGTACCACTACCCACTCCTCCGGTGTAGGAGGCCAGGCTAATATTTTCACCTAGACCTGAGTCTAGTAGAGTGAAAATGTGGGTGTGGCCGCAGTTGCCACAGGCAGCCCTACTGGCTGCTAGACCAGCAGCTTATATAACCACTACTACCATTAGGAGAGTAATGATCCACATTAAATACACTATATAAAACAACTATTCCAATATAAAAACAAATGTAAGGAATAATAAAGTAAAGAAATAAGACATGCAGACAAACCTTTCGTCCGAGTATTTGGTTGATGGCGGCGCTCTCCTTGAGCGTGCACTCTGCTACCACCTTGGCTCTCATCTCCTTCATGTACAACATGAAAGCGTTCAGAGGCTTCTTGATATGTGGCTTCTTGTCTGTAAAACCACCAGCCTGGTTAATAACACTAACCACCAGCCTGGTTAATAACACTAACCACCAGCTTGGTTAACCTAACCTAACCACCAGCCTGGTTAATAACACTAACTTCCAGCCTTCTTTCATCACCATCTTCCATCACTTATGCTAAATATATCTATACTACACACACACATACAACCAGTGACTAATTCGCCCGGCTGGTGGGACTCTGATGAGCCGATGAATTCTTATACAGTATATGTATACCAGATGACTTCCCTGAGGTAACACCATCTACCAGACTCCTACCATCCCCGATGGAGATCGCGGGTAAAACCATCCTCGGTGTTAACAAATATTATTGGGGCCTCGGTCAAGTACCACTCGAGTCCTTGCTTAAACACACAAATGTTAAAAGGAAACGAGTGTAAAAAATACGAGCAAAAACACGTAGGGAGACAAAATTGTGTTCTTACCCCCGTTCTTGGTTTCAATCATCTGGGTCTTATCTCCTGACTGAAGTGACGGCTTCTGGTCCAGCCCGTGGTGTCTGTTGGAGAGAGAGAGAGAGGTGGCTGAGTTACAGAGGTGCATTACATATACTTACAATGAGAGAGAACACCCTAAACATATCTCCACTACCACTAACTCCACCAAGACCACTAACTCCATCAAGACCACTAACTCCACCAAGACCACTAACTCCACCAAGACCACTAACTCCATCATCAAGACCACTAACTCCACCAAGACCACTAACTCCACCAAGACCACTAACTCCATCATCAAGATCACTAACTCCACCAAGACCACTAACTCCATCATCAAGACCACGAACACTACTAACGCCATTTCCTCAACGACCACCATTCCATCCCTACCACTACACAGCATTGAATTACCATCCATCACAAACCCATTCCCTACCATCCCTACTACCAACCACCACTACCACCACCAACATCCCAACCACCACCTCGACGATCAACCACCCCCCCACCACCCTACCACCCGCCCACGGGCGCTACGAGGCAGCAGGCAGAGGTTGTGCAAACACACTAAATGAAAAAGTAAAACTCTTCCTTAATTACGACACTCCCCTCTTCCAGAATCCCCCCCACTCCCTCCTCACCTCCCTGTCTACTGATTATTAATATCTCTCTCGTCTCCCCCTTCCTTTTTTCCTATTCACTTCGGCCCAGACAAAACACTTAAGGATTTTCTTCAGTCTACCCTCAAGTTTTTCTTCCGTCCACTCCATTTTCTATGAATAATATGGACAGCCATACTGTATATTTCTATTCTCTTTTATATATCTCTAATTCTTACGGCATGAGGCTTGGTCTACCTGTTCTCATTTCTTTATATTCGTGTATGTGGTGTGCGGGTTAAGTGATGGAGCGTGGCAGATGAGAGGTTGGTAGATGGAAGGTTGTGTGTGGCAGTGGCAGGGGGAGGAGAGGACGTGTTATGAGCGTGCCTCTATGGGTGATATCAATTAAACGTGAATTCTTCTGTCATTACAACCCTATCCCTCTTGTAGTGGGAGGCTGACTAGATACCTGGTAGAAAGAACGACAGGCAAAAGAGACAGGCTGACAAAAGAGCTGACAGAGCGAGAGACAGGCTGGGCTTCGTCCCCGCCAAAGGGTTACCCCGGTAATCCAAGTGGCGCGGGCCCCGGGATACGGATATATTGACTCTCAATAAACAGTGGAGTCATCCGCCCGTAAGATCTGGTTAAGCGATCACCCTCACTTCAAAATCAGGGCAAGTTGCACACATCTTATGTACATGTTAAACAAATGCCATAGAACTTAATCAACCCCGCTCGCGTCACGTGTCATCACAGGCTGGAGAGAGAGACTCGTCAATCTTGCTCACGAACGAACGTTTCTTCGCTCCTTTATATACAAGTACTGCATCGTACAATCTATACTGGGTGGTCAATACAGCCCTTAAACAACACCCAGTAGTGCACTTGACCGTGAGCACAAGACAAACCACAACGAGAATACTGTCCTCAACGCATTTCCAATATCACTTGACTTTCTAAACATATCCCATTCAGACGACATCTTTAATTTTGTTAATGCGTTGCTGCTCAGTTGATTGTGTCGTGTGGGTGGGTGTTCTCCGTACACCGACAGCCTAACCCGAAAGTACAAGGAGCTAGGATATTCACGCCTAGCTGACATATTCTTTATTCTCTTTGACACCCTGAGAGCTGCTATGTTTTGGAAGATGTGTACGTACATTACTCCACAACTAGTCAACAAGTCTAGTTACGTACAACCTTCTTGAGGCCGTTTCAATATTCATGGCATCTTTATCGTTTCGCATCCTAAGATTTATTAAGTTTACTGTTTATTTATTGTAACATGATAATAGATACAGGCTCTTACCATATGCAATCTATCTCTTCGTTATGTCATGTTATTCATATAAGTAAGGGATATACAGTAAGTTGTTATTTTACTTACCATATCATTAATAAATAATAAAATAAATGTAATGACTATTTTAAACCATTATTACGCCATGCGTATTTTTCAATTTTCACTGTCGGTTAGTAATGTAACAAATTCTTATGGCTAAAATTAATTCGCATTCGTATAATCCAAAACAGACATAAAAGTTACACAACTATTAAGTATCACCCGTATTGCATAAACGTTTTCCCTGCACTTTAGTCTCAGTCCTCCCTACAAAATATGCGTTGAAAAAAAATACACGTTTTCTATGATTACCTTACATACCAAGTTTTCTCTCATGCCGTGGCCAAAACAACGTTCAATAATTGTGCAGAACCTAAAAGTTGGACCGAAAAAGAAAAAAGAGAATAATGATGTATCAGGCGTGGCAGAGTTAGTGATATGTGAATAATTAGAAAGCCAAACTTGCCTCTTCCTCGCGGGCGGTGGTGGTAGTGATCACTTTTGTGCAGTAGGAAAAATATTTCTCCCATTCCCACCTCCCAGTATCGCTTCATTTACACAAGACACGCAAGTTGAGGACATGAGGAAGTATGTTTATATAATTTCTACTTGTTATCTTAACCCCTTTCCACTTCTTTTACTTATTTCATTCTCTACCTCCCCTTTCTGTCTTATAAATATGTTGGTAACTTTCGACGCTAATTTCGTTACGTAAGTTTAATTTTGTGGGAATTTTTCATCACATAACTCGATATTTAGTTTAGTTAAGTCAAGTGAGGTTAGGTTTGGTTGAGAGAGAGAGAGAGAGATCGAGATCGTCCTCCCCTCACATCTCCGCCACAGAACTCAAATTGTCATCACACATTTATCTCCTCTTGGGCATTTTAATTTTGGTGGTCGGAAAATCTTAATTAACCTGTACGTCTCCCCTCAAGGTGAGTTTCTATGGTTCCTTAATGAGCGAATTCAGTAATTACCATCAAATGAGAGGGTGGTAAGTGGTGTAGTTATATTGTACATAATTAAAGACTGTTGTTTGGGGTTAAATTACTAAGGAATAAAATTAGCCAAGAAAAAGTTATTCGTATAATTTTAATAATGAAGATAATTATATAACTTGTTTGTCATTTATTTTCTCATCTGGACACAACAAGATGGTGTGTGTGTGTGTGTGTGTGTGGGTGTGTGTGGGTGTGTGTGTGTGTGTGGGTGTGTCTGTGTGTGTGTGTGTGTGTGTGTGTGTCAGGTTTTGTTTGGGTCAGGTGTGATTAACTTGCGTTGTCACACAGGTATACTGTCATACACCCAGGATTTTGTAGTTTGACTCAGAATTCTGTAGTGGATAATGACCTAACTTATGGTGTATCTGACGTGACCTGATCTCAAGTGGTGCACTGACCCAAACCTGTGATGGGCAACTGACCTGAACCTGTGAAAACAATACATACCTGTGGTTGTCGTGGGAAGTGTTGGGCATCTCTGTTTTGGGGGAGGCGACCAGCGGGTGTGTGAGAGGTGGGGTGAGGCCTGGGTGTGGGTGCATCAAGCTACTAGGCGAGAACCTGTAAAACATAAACAATAGTCACAGTTAAGAGGGAAATAAATGGTGTTCTCGTGGCTTGTCTCTTGTAGGAAGTGAAGGTCTTGTGGATGGTGCTTGTCAATCTAAACATTTCATTAAAGTACTCAAATGAAAATTAATGATTCACGTAAATATTAGCCCCCATAACCTAACCCCATAGCTTTCTTCATTATAAGGTTAACCACTTCACGCTAATCTAACCCTAACCCCAGGTAGCGTTTGGGTTTTTAATCTCAAGATAAAATAAGCTGGGGTGCCTAATCTTCCGGTGATCCTAAATAACCCCCCAAAAAATAACCGGATAAGAAATAAAATACAAATTAAAACATTGCTTTAAACAAAATCAAACCACTTGTTAAAACAACAAACATTTATCTAATATTAATAAAACACAACTGATCTAAAACCATCATAAAACGTTAATAAAACACTATTAACCTGATGAACCTTTAACAAACACAATAAAACAGTAGTAATCCAATTAACTATAATAATAATACAAATAGATTAATTATTATACCGAGCGTTAAAACAAATAATTCTTGATAACTCCAAAATAATTAAATACATCCACTCTATCTAATCTAATTAACGGTGAAAATAAGAACTTAATAATTCAATCAAATTAAAAACAAATAGGCTAATTAATCTTTCAAACCTACTCTAAATAATAATAATAATAATAGAGAATTATGACAATGTGTATGAATGTTTTGTATGTAGACGGAGTGAATTGGCTATTGAGTGGTGTTCTGTGGGCGGTAATACACGACCCACCCACCCTACCTAAGTAATCGGTAACAAATAGGGAGTGAGACTAAAACATATTATAAATTAATTAATGGGTAAGTCTAAAACAGATTTACAGATTACTGGATAAGTCTTAATCTACTATACAGGATTGCTGAAAGACACCCATACTTGTTGAGCAGAGACTAATGAATAAATTTGTCTAATGGATAACTGAAAATGAACCATATATGCGTGAATGTGGATTAATGGATGGCTCTTAAATGGGTAATAAACGGTGTAACTAATGGTAATAGATAGAGATAGTCAACACAGGACAGCCAGAGGGAGGGAGGGAGTTAAGCGACACATCCGGATTCACTCACTCGCGTTCTCGCTATATCAACAATTACCCGCGATTTTAAATATATATATTTTTTGCTTTACCATTGGCAAATATCAGCGATTTTCATTATAATTTTTGTGTGTGTGTGTGTTTTGTCCAGGCGAATATAACCGTCTAGTAATATCAAATGTCTGAGCGAGGGATGATTGGTTATTTTCATAGTAAATTGCCCAGAAATGCTTATATGTATTTTGACAGTAGTTCCATCATTCTAATTTTCAAGTCAAACATCTATCTACTTTTTTATGGATGTCAAAAGCAATAAAGGAGCTTCAGGCAAAATAAACTTAATAATAGGCACGGAATAAAAAAAAAAATGCAAAATAACAGATGTATGTAAAGTGAGTTGGATGATTCACTTATGGTTGTGTATTTCTGAAATAAATAATTGTATAAACATAATCAGAGTGTGTGTGTGTGTGTGTAAGGGTGCACTAACCTGGGCAGGGTGGCAGTAGAGAGGGAGAGTGGTGAGGAGGGGTAGGTGGCGCTGAACGGTGAGGAGGAGGTAAGCGGGTACATGCGGGCAGTGGGCCTGCAAATAAAACAAACACACAAACCACATCAACAAACTCACTACTACAACACCAACAACAACGACAAGTCATAAATAGGGGGAGAAGGGAGGGGAGTGATGGTGGTGACTGGGGAGAAGAGAGGGGGGAGGGCTTTGGGGTGGTGAAGGGGGTGGGGGGGGGGTACACCCATCTAGTACCTATACCTACACCCATCAACCCATGTCCATACCTCCTCCCCCCACAACACAGCTTCTGTACACCCAACACACCTCATAATACACACCATGGCTCGTGAAAATCGTATCGTAAACACCACAGAGGTCAGATTCGTAACCCGTTCGTACGATGGACGTAACTCGTAACTAATGACGTAATACTACACTAAAAGTAACTTCAAAACTAAATCCCCCTATGATCATCTGAGCGTGTAAACTATTAATGAATGTTCTTGTATATAGTGTTGTTGTTTTAGCTGGGCAACGTAAGAGGTGTGTTCGTACGCTGAGAGAGAGAGAGTGGTGAAGTTAGGCGCATGAAGCAAGATGTTGAAAGTGAAGTGAGGCACATGAGGCAAGTGAGACGAGTATGAGACGATGAGGAGAACTAGGCACAATGTCCCCCTCCTCCTCCTCCTCCTCCTCCTCCTCCTCCTCCTACCCCTACCCCTACCCCTCCTCCTACCCCTACCCCTTGCACTACTATGATCAAATTCAAAATCATAATAAGTAAATAATTAATGAAATAAATTATATAAAGTGAAACGAATAAAAAAAAAAAGGCTTCCTATTTTTGTTTTAATAATTAATGTTTCACCAAATTTAAATTATATTTTAATTTTTTACAGGTAATGTATCTTTCGTCAGATGACATTAATTTTAAAACACGGATTTTTTCAACAACTAGCGTCAACAATTTTCACATATACAAGAATCCTTCGGTAAAGAAATCAAGATTTTTTTTCAGTTACCACCGTGATTTTTTTTTATTTAATACGCACTAAATATTTTTAAAAAGTCAGTTAATGATTCCGTAGTAAAATAAGTTAATCAGCAAACACGTCGGGTGGGAAGCGTTAGTGAGTGAATGAAAGATTTTGGTTTTATATAAAAATTATGAGAGAGAGAGATCTACCAAACAGTTCTTCAAAATTACTGTATTCTGTATTAACTAGTGTATGACTGTAGTATTAGATTAAATTTACAAACTGTATTTTGCTCACTATAAAATGTCTGACTACGGGATACAGGTAAAATGAAGGTATAAATACAGGAACATACAATTACAAGTACAGGTGCAGGTAGAGATATAAGGGGCGGTATACAGACACAAGTCCACGAACAAGTACAGGCACACGAACAAGTACAGGTACACGAACAAGTACAGGTACAAAAAGTGGTACAGGTACACGCATTACTTTGACATTGCGTCGACAAATAAACAAAATAATCAATATTTAAATTAGCATAATAATACATATTTATATTCGTTTGTTTTTCATCTTGATATTTTGAGACTTTAAATGTTCTTCATAGGGTATGGGCGTGTAGTGGGTGGGTGAGGGTATGGGCGTGTAGTGGGTGGGTGAGGGTATGGGCGTGTAGTGGGTGGGTGAGGGTATGGGCGTGTAGTGGGTGGGTGGGTGAGGTATGGGCGTGTGGTGGGTGGTGGGGTATGGGAGTGTAGTGGGTGGGTGGGTGAGGGTATGGGCGTGTAGTGGGTGGGTGAGGGTAGGGCGTGTAGTGGGTGGGGTGAGGGTATGGGCGTGTGGTGGGTGGGTGGTAGAGGGTATGGGCGTGTAGTGGGTGGGTGAGGGTATGGGCGTGTGGTGGGTGGGTGAGGGTATGGGCGTGTAGTGGGTGGGTGAGGGTATAGTGTGGTGGGTGGGTGGGTGAGGGTATGGGCGGTAGTGGTGGGTGAGGTAGGCGTATAGTGGTGGGTGAGGGTATGGGCGTGTGGGTGGGTGAGGGTATGGGCGTGTAGTGGGTGGGTGAGGGTATGGGCGTGTAGTGGGTGGGTGAGGGTATGGGCGTGTAGTGGGTATGAGTGGGTGGGTGAGGTATGGGCGTGTAGTGGGTGGGTGAGGGTATGGGCGTGTAGTGGGTGGGTGAGGGGTATGGGCGTGTAGTGGGTGGGTGAGGGTATGGGCGTGTAGTGGGTGGATGAGTAGTGTGAGCGGGTAGTGGAAGTAGATATGAGTGTGGATGGGTGGTGGAGGTGGATGGGTGGTGAGGGTGGAGTGGGCGAGAGGTGGTTGGATGAGTGGTGAGGGTGGAGTGGGCGGGAAGTGGAGCTGGGTATGAGTGTGGATGGGTGACAACGGAGGGAGGAAGGGAGGAAGGGAGGAAGGAAGGAAGGAAGGAAGGAAGGAAGGAAGGAAGGAAGGAAGGAAGGAAGGAAGGAAGGAAGGAAGGGAGGTAGAAATATCCACCAGCACTAACTACATAATACAACAACAACAACATGCTAGATAACTACCCACACCTAAAACTACGTGCTTCCCCCCATCATGCTGCGAGGGAGGGGGGGGGGGACACAGGCGGGATAGTGGACCAGGATAGTCACCTCAAACAGTCTATCCCATCTTCTATGTGTATAACGTCACTGTTGTTGTCACGTTTTAGGTGTTATGACGATAGCCTGAGGTGTCTTACGATAGTCTGAGGTGTTTTACGATAGTCTGAGGTGTTTAGCGATAGTCTGAGGTGTTTTACGATAACCTGAGGTGTCTAACGATAGCCTGAGGTGTTTTACGATAACCTGAGGTGTCTAACGATAGCCTGAGGTGTCTAACGATAGCCTGAGGTGTTTTACGATAGCCTGGTGTGTCGTAGTTAATAATACGGTAAAAAGTCTTATCTCAATCTATGGCTGAAAGACATATCTAAGACACTAACATGGCTGGTGGAGGGGGTGGGAGGAGGGGGGTCAACTCAACCACATTCAACAAAATAACATCCTCTCTCTCTCTCTCTCTCTCTCTCTCTCTCTCTCTCTCTCTCTCTCTCTCTTTAACTAACTGCCTGGCACACAATTGAACTTACGTATTTAAAGGTTTAATACTACTAAAACCAATAAATTGAGCCATTAAGCCATTAGACTGTACCACTATTAGTTATATATTTAGTAACATAAAATAAACTCAATGTCTTCTCTGACTTGACTGATAGGATACATACAGCTTTATGAGGGAGGATGTTGTGCGTGCGTGTGTGTGTGGGGAGAATTTTCCACCCAGACTGTCTTGAAGCAATTGGGTGATGTTGAGGTAGGTGATGTAATGCTAACTACTGTCATTCTTTAAAATAATAAATGTAAAAATAAAATTACATAATGCTTCTGACAAGGAGATGCTTAATGCTGAGACTATGAGAGGGCTACTGTGAGGGGAGAGGAGGGGAGGGAGAGAGGAGGGTTAGTGCAGGACAAAAGGAAGGAGGTGGTAGGTGGAGGGGTCAAGGAAGATGTTGGGGTAGAGGAGGTGGAGGAGCAGAGGGGTAGGAGGTAGTAAGGGTAGGAGGTAGTGGGGAGGGGTGTTGGAGACGGAGGTAGTGAGGAGGGGATGTTGGAGGTGCTGAGGGAGTGGGGCAGTGTTGAGGAGGAGAAGGGGGTAGAGAATGAGGAAGGGGTGGTGGAGGTAGTGGGGAATTGGGGGTGTTGGAGGTACTGAGGGAGGGAGGGAGGTATTGAGGGAGGAGGAGGAAGAGGGAGACAATGAGGGAGAGGGTAGGGAGGAATGGTGATGGTGATATACAACTAACACAAGAGGCAGCAGCCACTCACCAAGCGGACGCCATCTGAGCAGTAAAGTCAGCACTGAGCGGGTATGGATACTGTCCCGAGGCTGCAAACGGGTATACCGGCGGCCGTAGACCTGTGAGGGCGAGGGAAGAACACCGTGTTAAACCTTACATGACTGAACACACACACACACACACACACACTTTATTGTTTACGTCTGTCTGTCTGTATGAGTCCGTCCTTCCGGGGAAATTATAAACGCGATAACTTGGATAAATAATAATAGTCAAAACAAACTTGATAAACAGAGAAAACATAACAAGTTCTATGGGTAAACATCACGAAGAGAGATAATGAGAAGGAATAAGGAAAAAAAAATAGTGAGAAATGTTGTAAGAGAAAGAAGCAAAAAACGAAGAATAGAAGGAGAATAAAGGAAAATCAAGAAGAATAAGAAGAAAAAAAATAAGAAGAAAATAATAACAATAATAATAATAATAATAATAATAATAATAATAATAATAATAAGAAGAAGAAGAAGAATGGTGGCTACTAACTCACTCCATACTGTATAACTGTGATCTAGGAAGTGAGGCGTGTTGCAAAGTACAGTGGTGCAAGGAGTGTCTGTCTTGCAAGTGGTGTGTTGTAAGAGAGGTATGTTGTAAAGAGGTATGTTGTAGGGAGAGTGTGTGTTGTAAGTGTGTGTAGAGTAGCAGGGGAGATGTGTTGTAGGGGTGTGTTGTAGGGGGTGTGTTGTGGGGGAGGTGTGTTGTGGGTGGTGTGTTGTGAGAGGTGTGTTGTGGGGGAGGTGTGTTGTAGGGGAGAGTGTGTTGTGAGAGAGGTGTGTTGTGAGAGTGGAGGTGTGTTGTGGGGAGGTGTGTTGTGGGGAGGTGTGTTGTGGGGGAGGTGTGTTGTGGGGGAATTGTTGTGAGAAGTGTGCTGTAGGGAGGTGTGTTGTAGGGGAGGTGTGTTGTAGGGGGTGTGTTGTAGGGGAGGTGTGTGTTGTAGGGAGGTGTGTTGTGAGAGGTGTTGTAGGGGAGGTGTGTTGTGGGGAGGTGTGTTGTGGGGGGAGGTATGTTGTGAGGGAGATGTGTTGTGGGGAGGTGTGTTGTGGGGGGTGTGTTGTGAGGGAGGTGTGTGTTGTAGGGGAGGTGTTGTGGGGAGGTGTGTTGTAGGGAGGTGTGTGTTGTGGGGGGTATGTTGTAGGGGGAGATGTGTTGGCAGGGGTGTGTTGTAGGGGAGGTGTGTTGTAGAGAGAGAGTGTGTTGTAGGTGGTGTGTGTTGTGGGGGAGGTGTGTTGTGGGGGAGGTGTGTGTAGGGAGGTGTGTTGTGGGGGGTGTGTTGTAGAGTGGGTGTGTTGTAGGGGAGGTGTGTTGTGAGGGGTGTGTTGTGGGGAGGTGTGTTGTGGGGAGGTGTGTTGTGGGGAGGTGTGTTGTGGGGAGGTGTGTTGTGGGGAGGTGTGTGTGGGGAGTGTGTTGCAAGGGTGTGTTGGCAGGGGTGTGTTGTGGGGGTGTGTTGTAGGGGGAGGTGTGTTGTAGGTGGAGGTGTGTTGCAGGGGGAGGTGTGTTGTAAAAGGAATTTTTTTGCAGGGGGAGGTGTGTTGCAGCAGTAAGCAGTGTTGCAGGGGTAGGGTTGGACCCCCTTAGCAACGCGACAACAAAAATTGTCACTATTATCAAGCTTGGTTGTCAGCACCCCGCAACACCCATCCCTCCCTCCCTCAGTGGCTGACGCCTTCCCACCCTTCCCTCCTTCCGTCCGTAAATGCACTGTCCATTCCTCGGTGGTTGACGCCCTCCTTCCCTTCACTCCTTCGCCAAACCATCTCCTCCCAAATACAAAAATTTCCCCCACCTCCTCCTCCACTTGCCCCACCAAATTAGCTCTCTCCACTCCCCAACACGCCAAACAACCACCCTCCCCCACCAGTGCACTCCTCCAACACACCCAGCTACCTCCCTCTCCCTCCCCACTAGTGCCTCCTCCAACACACAACTACCTCCCTCTATCCTCCCCACCAGTGCCTCCTCCAACACACCGCTTCCTCCCTCCCAACACACACCAGCTACCTCCCTCCCACCCTCTCCCTAACACACCAGCTACCTCCTCTATCCTCCCCCACCGGTACCTCCTCAACACACAGCTACCTCCCTATCCCCTCCCCCACCAGTGCCTCCTCCCAACACCAGCTACCTCCCCCTCTGCCCCTCCCCACCAGTGCCTCCTCCAGCACAACTACCTCCTCTATCCCCTCCCCCCACCAGTGCTCCTCCAACACACCTTCACCTCCCTCTATCCCCTCCCCCACCAGTGCCTCCTCCAACACACCTTCCTCCCTCCTCCCCTCCCCCACAGTGCCTCCTCCAACACACCCTTCCCCTCCCTGTCCCTCCCCCACAGTGCCTCCTCCAACACCAACTACCTCCCTCTATCCCCTCCCCACAGTGCCTCCTCCAACACACACAGCTACCTCCTCTGTCCCTCCCCCACCAGTGCCTCCTCCAACACCAACTACCTCCCCTCTATCCCTCCCCCCCACCAGTGCCTCCTCCAACACACCAGCTTCTACTCCCTCTATCCCCTCCCCCCACCAGTGCCTCCTCAACACACCACTTCTCCTCTCCCCTCCCCCACCAGTGCCTCCTCCCTTTCAGCCCTCTCTATCCCTCCCCACCAGTGCCTCCTCCAGCACAACTACCTCCCTCTGCTCCCTCCCCACAGTACCTCCTCCAACACACAACGCTTCACCTCCTCTATCCCTCCCCACCAGTGCCTCCTCCAACACACCAACTACCTCCCTCTCCATCCCTCCCCCCACCAGTGCCTCCTCCTTGCCTGCCCTTTACCTCCTCTATCCCTCCCCCCACCAGTGCCTCCTCCCAACACACCAGCTTCCACCTCCCTCTATCCCCTCCCCCACCAGTGCCTCCTCCCAACACACCAACTACCTCCTCTATCCCTCCCCACAGTGCCTCCTCCAACACACCAACTACACTCCCTCTATCCCTCCCCCACAGTTGCCTCCTCCAACACCAGCACCTCCTCTATCCCCTCCCCCACCAGTGCCTCCTCCAACACACCTTCACCTCCTCCCCCTATCCCTCCCCCCCACCAGTGCACCTCCTCCAACACACCAACTACCTCCCCTCTCCTCCCCCCACCAGTGCCTCCTCCAACACACCAACTACCTCCCTCTATCCCCTCCCCCACCAGTACCTCCTCCAACACACCAACTTCCTCCCTCCTATCCCCTCCCCCACAGTGCCTCCTCCAACACACCAACTGCTCCCTCCTCCCCTCCCCCCCCAGTGCCTCCTCCCAACACACCAGCTTCCACCCTCTATCCCCTCCCCCACCAGTGCCTCCTCCAACACACCACTTCCTCCCTCTATCCCCTCCCCACCAGGTACCTCCTCCAACACACCAACTACCTCCCTCTATCCCCTCCCCCACCAGTGCCTCCTCCAACACACCAGCTTCCTCCCTCCTATCCCTCCCCCACCAGTGCCTCCTCCAACACCTGCTTCACCTCCCTCTGCTCCCTCCCCCACCAGTGCCTCCTCTAACACACTGTTGCCTCCCTCTGTCCCTCCCCACCAGTGCCTCCTCCAACTTTTCCAGCTTCACTCCCTCTGTCCCTCCCCCACAGTGCCTCCTCCAACACACCAACTACCTCCTCTATCCCTCCCCCCACCAGTGCCTCCTCCAACACCAACTTCCTGTCCTCTGCTCCTCCCCACCAGTGCCTCCTCCAACACACCCAACTACCTCCCTCTATCCCCTCCCCCCACCAGTGCCTCCTCCAACACACCAACTACCTCCTCCCTCCCCCACCAATTGCCTCCTCCAACACCAACTACACTCCCTCTATCCCTCCCCCACCAGTGCCTCCTCCCAACACCAGCTACCTCCCTCTATCCCCTCCCCACCAGTGCCTCCTCCAACACACCAACTACCTCCCTCTATCCCCTCCCCACAGTGCCTCCTCCAACACACTGCTTCTCTCCATCTCCCCCACCAGTGCACTCCTCCAACACACCAACTACCTCCCTCTAATCTCCCCCCACCAGTGCCTCACTCAACACACCAGCTTCTCCCTCTATCCTCCCACAGTGCCTCCTCCAGCTTACCAACTACCTCCCTCTATCCCCTCCCCACCAGTGCCTCCTCCAGCTTGCACCAGCTTCACCTCCCTCCTGTCCCTACACCAGTGCCTCCTCCAACACCAACTACCTCCCTCCTATCCCCTCCCCCACCAGTGCCTCCCCTCCAACACCCAGCTACACTCCCTCCTGTCCTCCCCCACCGATGCCTCCTCCAACACTGCTACCTCCCTCCCTCCCCTCCCCACAGTGCTCCTCCAACACACCAACTTCACCTCCCTCTCCCTCCCCACCAGTGCCTCCTCCAACACACCAGCCCCCACTCCCTCTGTCCCCCTCCCCCCCCACCAGTACACTCCTCCAACACACCAACGCTACCTCCCTCTATCCCCTCCCCACAGTGCCTCCTCCAACACACCTTCTGTCCCTCTGTCCCTCCCCCCCACCAGTGCCTCCTCCAACACTGTGCCTCCCTCTATCCCACCTCCCCACCAGTGCCTCCTTAACCTGCCACCTGCTTCTCCTCTATCCCTCCCCCACCAGTGCCTCCTCCAACACCTTCACCTCCTCTCCTCCCCACCAGTGCTGTCCTCCAACACACCAACTTCTCCCTCTCCCCTCCCCCACCAGTGCCTCCTCCAACACAACTGCACTCCTGTCCTCCCCACCAGGTACTCTCCAACACCTTCCTCCTCTGTCCCCTCCCCACAGTGCCTCTCCAACACCAGCTACCTCCCTCTATCCCTACCAGTGCCTCCTCCAACACACCTTCACTCCCTCCTCCCTCCCCCACCAGTGCCTCCTCCTTACACCAACTACACTCCCTCCTCCTCCCCTGTGCCTCCTCCAACACACCCTTTACCTCCCTCTATCCCCTCCCCACAGTGCCTCCTCCAACCCCACCACTTCACCTCCTCTATCCCTCCCCCCACCAGTGCCTCCTCCAACACACCTTTACACTCCTCTATCCCCCTCCCCCCCTGGTGCACCTCCTCCAACCCCAACCAACTTCTCCTCCCTAACCATTTTCGGCGTAAGACAGTAAGCAGACCTGACAGCCCCCCCCCCACCCCCCACCCAATAGGAACGTAATATAATCAGACAGACGAGCACAGACAGACAGACAGACAGACAGAATGAACTTGCCGTTACGCGGCGCCACTCCAGCCCGACTCGCCCGCCGCCTCACACCAGAACTATTAATCAAGGGAGCGTCTTCGTGGATCCCGGGACACACAAGCTGGGCAGGGGTATTGGTGACAAACAGGGTCCCCACAACCGTAAGCTCGGGGTACACACAGGAATTTACCAGCCGCGCCCTCCTCCTTCTCCTCCTTCCCTCATGCCCTCCACCCTTCCTCCACCTACATGCCCTCCACCCTTCCCTCCACCTTCCCTCACCTACATACCCCTCCACCCTTCCTCCACCTACATACCCCTCCACCCTTCCCCTCCACCTACATACCCTCCACCCTTCCCTCCACCCCTACACCCTCCCACCCTTCCCTCCACCTATGCCCTCCACCCTTCCCTCACCTACCTCCACCTTCCACTCCACCTACACTTGCCCTCCTTCCTTCCCATCACCTACATACCCCTCCACCCCTTCCCTCCACCTACATACCCCTCCACCCCTTCCCTCCACCTACATACCCCTCAGCCTTCCCTCCACCTACATACCCCTCCACCCCTTCCCTCCACCCTGGCCTCCCTCCACCTACATACCCCTCCCACCCCTTCCCTCCACCTACATACCCCTCAACCCTTCCCTCCACCTACATACCCCTCACCTTCCTCCACCCTACACCCCTCCACCTTCCTCCTGCTCCCCTCCTTCCCTTCCCTCCCACCTACATACCCCTCCACCCTTCCCTCCCACCCCTCACCCACCCCTCCACCCCTTCCCTCCCTGCCCCTCCCTCCTTCCCTCCACCTATTTTTAACCCTTCTTCTTCCTCCTCCTTTCCTTCACCTGTTTCTCTAGCCCTTCCTCCTCTCCTCTCCCCTCCCACAGACACGTTATTATAGCCACACACAAAAATATAAATATAACGTCAGGAATTATCGCCAGTCACGGAGAAATTGTCACCATAAATTATTGCTAAAATCTACGAAATTATCACCAGAATCAATGCAATTATCGTCAAAATGAAAATCGCCAAGAATTATGGCGAAAAAAATCTCTCTAAAATCGTCAATAATCAACACTAAAATTCACACGTCAATTATCGCTAAAATCGCTAAGAATTTTCGTTCAAAATCGCCAAAATAAATCACTAAAAACAAAATATTTCACTAAAATCCGTCAAATTATATAACTAAAATCGCCAAAATATATCACTTTAAATCGCCAAACTATTTCGCGATAAATGGTGAGGAACGACAGCCAAGACGGTCCAGTAATATACGTTAGGGAATTAAGACGATAAAATGACACATATTATAGAGAAATTATATACGTATTCAACGCTACAGCTAAACCAGGGAGGGGGAAGAGAAGAAGAGGGAAGAGGTTACTACTTGACTCATTCTGCTCTCTCTCTCTCTCTCTCTCACCTCCCTCTCTTTCCTTCCTCCTAACCCCCCCTCCTAACCCCCCCTCCTAACCCCCCTCCTCCCCCATCACATACCATACCTACCCTTACTCACACCCCCCACCACCCCCGTCTTCCCCACACACAAACACAACTTAGTTTAAGATATATTACACCATATGTCACCTGCTGTCCCCCTAGTTAAGAGCTGTGACACACGCCCACACAGCACGACACACGCCCACACAGCACGACACACGCCCACACAGCACGACACACGCCCACACAGCACGACACACGCCCACACAGCACGACACACGCCCACACAGCACCACGCAAAACAGCCAATACGTGACAGCAGCCAGAGGGGGTGGGGAGGGGGGTTTGGGAGGGGCGAATAGAGAGGGGGAGGGGTAAATAGTCTTGACCCAGCGGTTTTAACACGTCGTCGTCGCCATGTTGTTAACGTTGGGGAAATATTTCTCTTTGTCAAATAGTTTAACAAAAAATATATATATTATTGGAACTTTGAAAAAACGTATCGGTACATATTTGAAAACTTTTTAAAAATATATCTTGAACTTTTTTTTAAAACCACATCTGGATTTTTACAATTAATTTCGTTCCTTTTAAACGTATTTGGAAATTTTTAAATGTAATTAAAACATTTATGACGTATTATTGAAAACTTTTTTTGAAACGTAAGACAGCGACGTTCTCTAGTCAGCCCCCTACACCAGTCATCCAGTCAGTCCCCTACACCAGTCATCCAGTCAGTCCCCTACACCAGTCATCCAGTCAGTCCCCTACACCAGTCATCCAGTCAGTCCCCTACACCAGTCATCCAGTCAGTCCCCTACACCAGTCCCCGGTCAGTTTACTGGTCAGTCCAGTTCAGTCCCTACACCCAGTCCCAGCCAGTCAGTCCTCGCAGTCGGTCCCTACACCCCAGGTCATCCAGTCCAATTTTCACGCAGTCAGTCCCTGCAGTCATGTTCAGGTCCCTGCGGTCAGCCCCTGCAGTCCCTACACCCAGTGGTCCCTCCCGCAGATCAGTCCAGTCAGTCCCTACCAGTTGATTTTCCTGGGTCAGCCCCCTCACGATGTTCTCACACCCAGTCATCAGTCAGTCCTACCATTCAGGTCCCTGCAGTCAGTCCAGTGGTCCTACTTGGTCAGTTCCCTGCACCCAGTCAATTTCACCAGTCGGTCCACAGTCAGTTCCCTGCACCCAGTCAGCCCCCTACACCAGTCAGTCCCCTGCAGTCTGTCAGTCAGTCCCCTACACCAGTCAGTTCCCTACACCAGTCAGCCCCCTACACCAGTCAGCCCCCTACACCAGTCATCCAGTCAGTCCCCTACACCAGTCATCTAGTCAGCCCCCTACACCAGTCATCTAGTCAGCCCCCTACACCAGTCATCATCCTGTTTACATCTCACACACATCCTAACAAGGCTCATTAAGTAAACAAATAAGACTTGTATACCATTTCTAGATCGAAAAAGTAGTCTACTATCTGTAAACTAATCCTAAGTTTACACTGTGAGGTAAAGTATACTATTTTTGGGGGGAATTAAACCACATCTACAAGTTTACACGGTGAACTAAACAAGAATAACCTGTTTTAGAATAAGTAAACCTAACCTAACCCCCAAAAAAGTTTACACGGTGAACTAAACAAGACAGACTAATATTTTAAGGCTAAGTAAACCACATATAAAAGTAAACCAAGAAGGTAGACTATAGACTTACCAGCTTTGGGGTCTAATTGGTAAGGTGGTATGCCCATGTGTGCAGGTGGGGGCTGTCCTAGGGTCTGTCCATTGTGGTAGAGAGAGAATAGAGAACCGCTTGCTGGTCCCGCTCCTAGACCCATCTTTTCTGCCGCCTGTGAGAGAGAGAGAGAGAGAGAGAGAGAGTAATGTTATTGTTATTGTTGATGTTATTCTTGTTGTTATTGTAGTATTGGTGTTGGTATTGTCGTTGTTATTATTGGTGATTTTATTATTATTATTATTATTATTATTATTATTATTATTATTATTATTATTATTATTATTATTGTTGTTGTTGTTGTTGTAGTTGTTAGTGGTGTTATTATTATTATCATTGTTATTGTTTATTTGTTATTATCATTATTAAAATAAAATATTACACCCATCACCACAATATTTAATTATTACGTACAAACTAATGAGACAATATTCACTCAAATCATCATTATCATCATCATCATTATCACCATCATCACCACCATCGTCATTATCATCATCATCATCACCACCAACATCACCACCACCATCATTATCATCATCATCATCATCACCAACATCACCATCATCACCACCACCAACATCACCACCAACATCACCACCAACATCACCACCATCACCATCATCACCACCATCACCACCATCACCATCATCACCACCATCACCATCATCATCATCACCATCCTCATCATCATCACCACCACCAACGCATCACCAAATAAACTCCCTCTACCTCCTCTCACCCCTGCCCTCCCAAACCACACACACATCGAACTAATCAATCAAGGGTTAAACGTATAATGCACAATATTCAATTAACAACTAAAAAAACACCAAAAAACACACACACAGAGTTAAAGTAGAAAACCAGCTCAGATTTTTTTTGTTTTTGTTTTTAGGTGGGGCGAGATACACTGCTACTCAATCCGCCATTACACTTCAGTCAAAAGTGGCCTCGTCAGTGTGCAGGCAATATATTGAAAATAATGGGTCATGTTCATCTCGCCACCGCCTCGCAGTATCTCTAAAGTTCGAGAGACATTAGATATGTATGATGAATCTCTAATGACATGTGGGTATATTTTGGGGAGTGTGGGGGGATGGGGAGAGAGAAAAAAGGGAGGGAGGGACAGGGGGAAGGAGGGAGGAGGGGAGGAGGAGGGGTGGATCTTTCTTGTGTATGTATGTTTGGGTGTGGGTGTGGGTGTGGGTGTGGTTTAATAAGGCCGAGTAGCTTGGTTCAAACACAGCCTCTGTTTAAATTAGTACTGTGTTTGTTGTGTTGTTTTCTGAGATAAATAAACAAGTAATCAAGAGTGTAAGTTGATTGTCTTGGGTTTCTTAAATGGGTTAAATATTACTATAAATTAATGTTATATGACTGACTCTCACTCACTCACACACACACACACACACACACACACACTAATGGTTGCCCCTCGTATAACGAGGATGGCCGGCCCTAGGGCCACCTAGGCATGAATTTGTTAAGGTGTAGAAGCTGTCGCCAACACAACAACCACACCCTGAGTTAACGAGCTGCATGACCCAGTGTCAAGGAATAGTTCGAGAAGACCGGACAACTCGCCAACTGCACTGGCTAACCATTACCCCGGAACACGATCCGTAAATCGATTAACATCCAGGTTCCCAATTACTGCTGGGTAGACAGAGGCAAATGGCGTAAAAAAACTTGCCCATAGTTTTACCCTGCCCGGGGATCGAACCCAGGTCCGGTCGATTGCGAGGCGAGGATGCTGACCATTACAACACACACACACACAAACCTCTGCTGGTCTCTCCCCTCCTCCTCTTCCCTCCCTCCTTTTTACCGCTGTTTCTTTCATTTTTATCTTATTCCTTCGTTTTTTCTGATTTACTTCACCCTCTCTCCTCTTTGCTTCACTTTAATTTTCTACTTCTCCATTCCTTCTCTTTTCCTCTTCTTCGTTTCCTCCTTCTCTTCAATATTTTCACCCTCAATCCCTTCTTCTCCTTACTTTCCCCACCTCTTCTCCTCCTTCCCCTTCCTTCTTGTACCACCCTCCCTACCCCCCTTCTACCTCTCCTCCACTCCCTTCTCCCCTCCCACCAGACGAGAGAGAGAGAGAGAGAGAGAGAGAGAGAGACTTAAAAACTTGAGAATATTACATCAAAACTTCTTGACTGAAAATACACGAATATCCTAATACACAAATAATAAATAACAATTATATTAGCGATGCTCTGAGACTCCCAGCGAGTAAACAACCCGGACGATCTTTTTATTTTTCCCGACGGAAGTTCAACTACCCGTTAACAATCAAATATAATGTGGGGGTCATTCTTTTTGTTTCTTTCTTTACTTTTAATTAAGAATATACTAATGAAAATCTACAACGAAATGATTATTATATATATATTTTTTTTATTTTTGTAGTTGAGCGTCACAGTCGTATTTATTTTTTTACTGTGTTGGTTTGGTAGTTGAACGTACATGATTGTATTTATTTGTGTTGTGTTTGTAGTTGAGCGTACACCTTATTTATTTTTGCTATGTTGTAATGTTGTAATGGTAGTTGAGCGTACATGACCTTATTTATTTGTGTTGTGTTGGTAGTTGAACGTACATGATTGTATTTATTTTTGCTATTTTGTGTTGGCAGTTGAGCTTGATGTTAGACGTCCATTCAAGTCCTACACGTTTTTTTCTGGACTTACGAGGATTAAGAACCCGAAGGCAAGGTTGGGCTTGGAAATGGAGTCTACTGAAGTCCTACAGGTTTCTCTTGGACTTCCTGGACTTCGGGGGGTAATATGGACACGGACGTAAGGTTGGACGTGAAGGCCATTTGGAAGCCATCTTGGTATTGGACGTTCTTCTTGTTCTGAGGCCACGGAACGATACAGATGGCCACGGAACGATAAAGAGGGCCATGTACGATAGGGAAGGCCACGGAACGATACAGATGGCCACGGAACGATAAAGAGGGCCATGTACGATAGGGAAGGCGGATGACACGGAACAGAGAACTGGCTCCGATGAGGGAAGGCCACGAGACGATAGAGATGGCTTTGGAACGTCAAGAAGAGCCATGTACGTGCGGGAAGGCCGGGAACGATGAGATAGCCACGGAGACGATAAAGAGACCGTATACGATAGGGAAGGCCACGGACGATAAAGATGGCTGGAACGATAAAGAGGGCCATGTACGATAGGGAAGGCCACGGACGATGAGATAATACACGAACGGTAAATATGGATGTCATAGGAGGAGGAAGATGACGTGGGGAGGGTGGATGACGTGTTCAGTTTGTGCTGAGGTGGATGGCAGCACACACACACACACGCACACACACACACACACCAGTCGATCCACTCACTTTCAATGTAAAAACCATAAATCCCTCCTCCCCCTCCCAGATAAGAGAAAAGGGAGTGATCCAGCAGCCCCTCTTCCCACCTCCCCCTACCCCCCCTCCTTCATCTACTCATTTCCCTAGGTACTCGCGTTCCTGTAAGATCACAATTGGTATCTGGAGTGAGAGCGTCGACCGTTGAATACACTCTGGCAGTAATGCAAGGCTCCCTGTGTCGCCTCCTCTCTCCCTTCCTTCCATCACTCACTCTCCCTCTTCTCCCTTCCATCACTCACTCTCCCTCTCTCCCTCCCTCTCTATCCTCCCTTCACTCCCTCTCCCTCAACACTCATCTCTCTGCCTCCTCCTATACCCACGACAAGGTCTTCTTCTTCTTCACCCTTCCTCCTTTACCACTCGTACCTCTTCTTCCTCCCCTTCCTCTTCTTCCTCCCCTTCTTCTTCTTCCTCCTCCTCTCCCGCCGCTGCTGCCCGGTAATCACACCACTTAGGCCGGAGTTAAGTTGAAGAATCACCATTTGACAGAAGCATCCAATTTACAGCATCAGGCAGAGTGAGGTGAGCTACTTCCTCCCAGTGGACGGCTCTCTCTCTCTCTCTCTCTCTCTCTCTCTCTCTCCTCTCTCTCTCTCCTCTCTCTCTCTCTCTCTCGTTTACCAGCGCATCACTCATTTGGACACCACGATGACACGGGCACTGACGATGACTTACGGAACTGACGATGACTTACGAGAACTGACATTGACTTACAGCAGGGCCGAAGGAAGGAAGAAGTAAAGAGGCAGGTCGTTCAGGAAGGGCAGTGACAGGAATGAAAGAAGGAGTATGTGTAGTGGGGGAGGAGGGTGAGGGAGGAATGAGAGGTGAGGAGGGGGAGTGAGGGGGGAGGGAGGGAGAGTGAGGAGGAGGAGGGAGGAGGGGGTAGTGTTAGGATACCATAAGTGGCAGTATGCCCACAGCCCCCCGCTTGTCTCCTCAATTTTGAGATAAACTGCTAGAAGGAGGAACACACTGTTAACTAAAAAAAATATATCGATCTAGCGGCAGCGGTGACGGCGGGAGGCAGCCAGAGGTGGTGGACGGTACGGAGGTGGTGGACGGTAAGGAGGACGAGGGTGCTTGGTCGAGAATCCCTAAAAGGTCCTTTGGCGCGAACAAAGTAAAGAGGTGGAGCTGCATTAGCGAACAAAGCCGCCACCAGCACCGCCATTTGGGAAACTCTAAACAGTAATACATGCAAATCTCTCAGCCTGGATATAACGTTTTGGGGGTGGTAGAGAGAGAGTGTGTGTCGAGGTGGGTGGTAGGGTGGGTGGCAGGGTGGGTGGATAGTTAAGTGGGTGTCTGGATGAATTGGTGGGTGGGTGGGTGGGTGGGTGGGTAGGTGCAAGAGTTAACCAGCCACACATACCTATCCTGGGACAGAGGTAAGGGACAGGTAACATTGACGGAAAAAGAAGAAGAAGAAGGTGAAGAACATCAATAAATGTGACAGGAAGACGGGAATAACACAGTAGACAGGTTGAAGATAATAAGAGACAGATGATTTGGAAAGCAGGACACACAAAGATGAAACTCCAGACAGACAGACAGACAGAGACAGACAGACAGACAGACAAACACCGTATATGTTTTCTTTCTCTCGGGCTCGGAGATCTATTCACTGCGTAAAGTTATGAAAGGTCAAGGTTTAGGAGCCAGAAAAGGTCAATAAATACTAAATACTCAAAACAAACAGTAAACAAAGATAA